GGTTGTACCCTGGTGTGTGTAGACGTTTTAGATACCTTACGAACTGAGATTTGTAAAATTCGTTACTTGGGTTGTCGTTAATAATAGTACTGTTTTATAGGCAAATCATTTCTATTGATTTCGGATTTTAGGTGTAACTCAATCGTTTGATTTGAACCCTAGAAATGACGTAGCAATGAAATCCACGTTAGCTTAGAACTACTTAGTAGAACATAACCAATGGATACACACTTGGATTGAAAAGAACTATTAGATATCTAATCAAATATGTTCATTTAAATGCGCACGAAACGTAAACTATCAACATAGTTTCCATGCTAGAAAATTTTTGTAAATAAAATTAGGAATAAGTATATATATATATATATATATATATATATATATATATATATATATATATATATATATATATATATACTCAACCAATCCATCCAAACAATTAAAATACATCTTTAGACTATGAGGAAAAATTCCCTGATAAATTAATGGAAACTGTTATGACTTTATGTCCGGTTAGCTATCACATGATCTATCCACCAATCAAGATACGACTTACACAATCTTAGCACCGTGCCAAACCAATTACGTTCGACCGGTATGAGCAGCCTAGCGTTCTTATTGGTCCTATGTCCGCCTATCCGTCCACTTGAGTCCAGAACACCAATACCAGCTTCCGCTATGCGAATCATATATTTCAAACATACTGGGTTCATATATCAAGCAAACAAACAGGAACATTATGATACGCGATTTGTCCAGGAAGCTAACATAAGACCATTTCGGCGGCCTGCTTGAGCATCTGGGCTACCTGTTCCTGCCATCTAGATATTTCAACAAGTTATCTATCTTTGTTTGTTTTAATATATCATTATGTCTATTAATCGCACAACCTATACTGCTGCGTTTCTGAAAAATGTACAACCTTTCGTTATTAAAGTTACAAAAAGCTCAAAAAGAGAGAATATGGTTGCTGGCAATGTACAACGAAAAGAATGTACATCATTCCCATGTTCATTTACTGGACTGATAACATCTAGCTGGCGACCACTCAGTATTTATCGCGAGGACCGACTAAGAAGAAAGAAACGGAAACTTGTTGAAATACTTTGTGCTGAGAATTCTATATTGTACCAATAATATAATATTGAATAAAGCTATTAATAATAATAATAATAATAATAATAATAATAATAATAATAATAATTCATATATTGAAATGCTGAACACATCAATGATCCCAAGTTACTTGCAATGGATCATTCGTGGTGCTCATATTTATCCTAGTATAATTCTTGAACATAAGTGCTTTGCTTACAAACCATATTAGTGACTAAATGTACCCGTCTTGGGTATTCTTTTTTGGTTAGTTTACGTATAATTAACAAAGCTATTGCTATGACTACTCTCCACTCGGTCACGATAATTTAGACTGTAGTCATTAGTTTTTCCTATCATTTTTAGAATGATGCTAAAAAAATACTGATCATCATACAGCTAAATAAGTTTTGGTAACTCTGCAAGGATCAGAACTGTAATTACAAAATATACTCATTTTTATATTGGTTGTCTGACTCTTTCCATTGGTGTTTACGACTGCAATTGTCCAGTCTCTTATTGGCATATGTGAGTCCTGAACAGACAGTTTAATATATGTACGATATTTCTCGAATCATGCATATTGAAGATTTAATGCTAACGCTACTCACTGTAACTAACCTTGTCACTTACAACTTTAGTAAACTTGGTGAGAAATATTCAAATTACTGAGGAAGCCAACTTCTAAACAGAGCGTTCTAGATACTATTCTCTGAAATAGTTTATAAACACACCTTTTTTCAAGGGTGTGCTGAAATTCTCACCACAAGCAACCAAAGGACATAAACTGACATATCCTAAATAAAGTTTATTTGGCGGTTTTTATTTCTCAGTACTTGAGACAACAAAATAGCGGCGTTAATAGAAGAATAGGTCTTAACTGTTTATGAGTACAGGGAATGCATTTAGTTGATATCAGACTCACAAAACATTCTACGTAACGGTATCCAAGCATTTTGGAAAATATTTCGTGCATCACTACTCCAAACCTTTTCAACACTACTTACTACCCAAATACATTGAGGTAATAGAAGGGACTTGTTTCAACTTTATATCTTAAAGAGATAAAAACGAAGCTTCGAGAATGCATATGCAAAGAAAACTATTGGTGTCGATTCGTAATACCTTAAGAGGATTAACAATTGTAGATTTTTTGGGTTTCATGCTATCGATTTTTGTTTCATACGTTATGAGCTTGGCAGTTTTGGAATGGCTAATTCACAAAAACATTATGAATCAACTCGTGTTCATGATACACAACTATTCAAATAAACATTGGGATCAATCAGCTGCGAATACTTATTAGACACCAAAACTGCCCGACAGTTCAACAGTAATTATGCATACATATCAGTAACTAGTTGATCAAATACAGGTCTGTGCACTAGTTCTTAAGCGATGTTAACTAGTGTAGGAGTGATTCAGGTGAAAGCTAGGGATAGACAACCTAAAACGTGACATTACGCCATGAAATCATTGATTGTTTAACCAAATTAGGTCGGCAGGTTCAAATTACATGGTTAAAGTTTGAGAGATAAACTAGCGTTTGAAAACGTTGGGTAACATGCCAATGCGGTGCAGATACATTCATTCCTTATTTCATTCTAGACCTTGTATCCCAATATTACTGCATGCATACCTTTTAATTCTGCTTTTCGAACAATTTTTACTCTTTCTCGTTGTTATTGTCAATACCCATATTTATACTGCTTTACTACTATTCGTGTGGCGTTAATATAGTAAAACTTGGGCTAACGCACATCTATACCAAACTATACGTTCATTATAACCAACTGAGTGATTGGACTTTAGTATTTTAATCACTAAATCATCGCTACATTAATCGTAAATAGATAACAAACAACTCCTTTCAGGTACTAAATTACAACACAATTATCATTCATTTGTTATAAATAAGGTTTATTATTAGAATTATTTCAAAACTATTCAAACGTTTTTTTATATTTACAAATAAATGTTAACTGAAAGATATGATCACTTTTTTATTCTGTTGTCGCATGTCATATTTAAGTATGTATAATCTAACAGTAATAGTGCGATGAATAACAAGTGTTTTTTCTTTGTAATGCATATTTATTACTTCATCAAAACTTGAATTCTTTATATTTTTTCGATGTGGACGGAACAGTTGGCTCGGGTGCATTACTTAAAACTGCACTACCCCCGCCAGATTTCACTCCACTAGTTTGATCTTGCTGAGATTCAGTGCCTGCTATGCGCTTACGTAACATACGTTCACGAGGATCTTCAGCCTAGACAAAGAGTTTAGGTAAAGCGAAAAAAGTTGACATAATAAATAACATTGTAAACAATGTGTATTAATGAACAATCCTCTCTAAGTAAGCCTAAAAATAATGTGGTACACTCTCTTGGTAATTTTCAATCATTTTCAAAATAATATCGCGTTGAATGTTTTCCTTTATTTAGCTCATCTAAAAATGAAGTTTAATAATATGCAAATTGCTGAAAATCAATCTTAGTAACTGATCTCACCATAGAATCAATAGAACAAATTAATACGTAGCAGTGATAATGAGAGTTCATATTATCTAGTTTTTGATTAATAAATATTAAGTTTTTTTCCGTAAAGACAACTACGATAAACTTCTAACTCATAATTTTGTACCGGCTTTGTTGTTATTTAATTGGTTCTTATCACCTTTAAATTGTTAATTTTGTTATCTGTTCCAAGGTCACTGAGTATTACCATATATACTGGGCAGTTCCACCTCCATTTAAAGTTCTTAAATATCGACCCGTTTCTGTGTACCTGTCTTACATAAAATTGGAGATACTGTCGAAGTGTTATGTATCAGTTAACAGTCTATCGAGTTCACATTAGATTCTGTGTGTATTAGACAAAACCTAATTGTTCGCGACTAGAAACTATCGTAGGGTGGTCACAAAACTCAACAAGTAAACACATGTGTCTAGATATACATTTTGTCATTTGGTCTAGTCAAACCTTACTACTAATCACTACTTTATTTTCAAGTAGACTTAGGTATAATTTAATTTACATAAAAGGTAAATATATGTGCTACATCGCGAAGCATACCAACATTATTACATTTTAGAATGCGATGAGATTGAATGATAGATTAATTATACTAAATTAATGAACACTAGCAAGTGAGATAGAAAAAGGACAGAAACTAGTGCAAAAATACTTGTACCTTTGGTACGTCTTAACTTTGGAAAGTAATTGGGATTATTATGTTCTCTGAAGAAAAGATGCAACATTCAGACAATGCTTAAAGAGAGCAAGAACGAAGATTGATGCAGAATATGAACTCATTTTATTACGTTAGGTTCTCATCAGCTGCTTACAACCTATAATATTTTCAAATCAACGTTTTATAGATATTGATATACTTATACATGTGAGGGTGATTAAAGATGAATATCTGTATCATGATGTAGCGAATATTTCAATAGTTAATAAGGTCATAAAAACCTTGTTTCGGATAAAGTTTGGGAGGGAAAGTTCCAGAACATTGAATTAGTGATTAGCACTCATGGAGTTAACAAACATATTCGTTCTTGTTCTCTTTAAGATAATAAAGGGAACTATGTGTATGGAATTTCATACAATGCATTTGGAAACCCAAGTTTCAAGTTTTGCCGCCGCATAAATCTTAGTTGAAATAGTTTTTTAAAGCAGCACTTGAGATCTACAGTATTAACTAGAATATCAAGCATTCAAACATTAACTAGACTAGCTGAAAAATATACCAAGTCTTCGAAAAATGATAAGTACTCGCATCATAAAGAAACGTTAAACTATATGCATATAAGAACTGTAAGTCATTATATATATATATATATATATATATATATATATATATATATATATGACATGGAATGAAAGTTCGAATACTTTACTTTCCAGGTCGACCTCAACCAGTAGACTACTTGAAGTTATGGATTTTGTGTCAAAAAAGTAATTTTGTTAAGATAGCCTACATTAATACGCCAAACATTAGTTGAAAACAATTGCATTAGTTACTGTCACAGACTTTGCATCGATTTCCTTTCACAGTTCCTTTTGAATAAACTTGTCGCAAAATGTTACTTTTCCAAAAGAAGTTTATAGGAAAATGAGACTACAGTTAAAGTAAGTGATTGTTCATCGTTTTAATGGGGATAAATAAGTTAAACTGAGAAAGGCAGAATCTAAGTATACTTTGAATCGGTTACATACATGAAACAGTATACTTACTTCGATTCCACGCTGAGCACCTGTTGCACCGGCCACATCATACAATTTAGTACTACCCATAAGTGCATTAGGTTGTAAATTAGTTTCAGTTTCAGGAAGTATACGATACAACTGAGTGGACGGTGTAACCAAACCAGTACTATCTTCCATTGCCTCTTCTATAGTTTTCTTACGTAGTTCAATCATACTTTGTGGAGTTTCTAAACCAGCGCCAACGCTAGATACACCACTAGGTGTTATTAATCTGTAACCAAATAAATAGTATAGAAGCAAAAACAAAATTAATTTTTTAATAAAAGAAATTACGCGAAATAATATACACGAAAACCCATGAATTGTCGGAAACGTTCCTAAGAAATCAATAAACCTCACAGCAATCAAGTTCGACTGAGGAAAAAACCTATAAAAAGTAGTTAACTTATGAGAAAATTCTTGAAAGTTGGCAATTCCCATTCACAATAAAAAATCATAATAAAGGAGACATGAAATTACACCAATGTTTATTTGTCAAATTAAGAAATCTTTACTTTTTTAGATTACGAACTCAATGTGAACCCTTTTTATGCATAATGTTGTCAATCAAATGATTCACAATGAATGCTCAAAGGATAATATTCACAAAGAATTTCACAAGTATAAAAATAAACACGAAAGCTAATAAGAACCCGGATTTTTTCCATCAACATAGTATTTTGTTAGGAGCGAGTTCGAATAACCTTCCCTGAACTCGAGGACAATCGTGACCATATCATCAAACAAAAATTATTTATTTTGCTAACATAATATAACCAATCAAGTAAATGGCTCAATACAAAATGAGCTTTATTTCAAATAAATGAATGGATGGATCCTTGAAATGTTGAATAAAATACTGTGAAACTATATTAATCAGCTTTTCCTGAAAACAAACAACTAATACAACTCTGTGACAAGATACAGGTTCATGTACTCTACATTTCAATCACACTGTTTTACATGAGAGCTATTGACAACATTACCCGGCCCCCCAAGCCCACATATATGGAACCTGGCTCGAAGCTGTTACGAAGTTATTGGAACCCGACTGTTATAACTAATAATAAACTGTTGAGTCAATTAATTGAAAGTCAAATTATCTAACTTCCAGACCAAGCTCCATAAACAAGTCAAAATAAGGAATAAGGCGAGACGGTTAGAATCAATTACAGTTTGTGACTAAACTGAGCAGATATACAAAATTATAGAATTTAGACAGAAAAAATGGATGTATCCCATAAATAACAGAACATACTGTCTTCGCCATTGGTAAAGGCGACAATAGTTGGTTCATTTCAACCAATGATTAGATACAAAACTTTAAAAGCTGCTTAACTTTTACAATAAATTGTTATTTTTTAAACCGTTTGTTTTAATCGGTGAACGTGATTCTTGTTAATTATTATTTCGGATTTAATACTAAGCGGGGACCCGCTTTTTTTAAATATTCTTTATACAATTAAACGAAAAGATATCGAAATATTGTAATTTCAGTTTAAGAGTACTTATGCTATCTCTAAAATCTGTTAACCTATTTCCTAGAATTATTTGCTATGTTGAAAGAAGAGATGAGTATTTCCACGAAAACAGAGCACAGTATACTCATCAAACGAATGGTGGATATTCTAACTGATAATACGTTCATTCCTGACTACACCCAAACGAAATGAGCTTTATGGGCAGTAGCGATTATATTCTCTGGCTAAAGACAACTTATGGAAGGATACAAATAACAGTAATGGGAAATAAATGAGAGCTTACCCTCCAGCAGGTGTGACTAGGCCACCGACATCTACTGGTCGAGGAATAGATCCTGCACTTGGCAGAGTAACGAGCATCTTTTTGGCTTCATTTTCAGCCATCGCAGATGCTGCTGCTTGATCTTCATCACTCTCATCGTCCGTATCCATATCCTGATCACCATCTTCGCCTTCAGACTCCTCATCAGATTCCAACTCGCCCCAATAACTGATATTTCCATGAGCTGATTTCATAATAAAGAATATGTGACAATACGCAGTTAGTGTATATTTTACTAATATTATACTAACAAATCAAAGTCCTAAATATTTTTAAAGTGGTAGGAAAGAACTTTGATTTCATACTTTGCGATTGTTAGATAGCTTTGCTTTAAGTGGATATATTTACACCAGTCTTAGCAATTTTTCGTTCTGGTTGTTTGCCTTTAACATTTTGAATCAGATGTCAACCTTTCTTTGGTGTTCAAAATAAGAGAGAGGCATATATATTGGTTACTTCTAGTCCGTTGTTCTAAAATAAATGCTAAGTATAACACTAAAACAATTACTACCTAGTCGCATCTTTAATTCCTATTAAAAATGACATAATTGGAAATTATTATTCTAAACAGTATCAACTCGGAAAGTATATCTCTTGTAGCAAAAAATTAATGATCAGTGGTTATCAGATTCAGTATACAGAAACAAATGAGCAAAAAATAAGCAGCAAGATTATAATAATATCAACCATTTATTTAAAAGTAAGAGAAATGTTCATAAACATTGCCTTGATTAGATAACAAGAGTGGTAAACTGGTAATACGTGCAAGCTAAATATACCAGCTAGAATATTTACTATTTTCCAGTAAAGCTACAACAATCAATATCCACATTCACGTAGACATTTAAATGCATCCTTCATATATGTGCCTGGTCCTAAGTTGTAGCTGACTGGCTCATCTGATGTAGGACATGATATCAAACAGCTTTATTCCTAATCTAAAGAAACAATCCATGTAACAATTTCGAATAAATTTAACATTTGATTGTCATTAAGACGCACTGTTTTTAACAGTAAAATCACCAAACAAATAGTGAAATGTATTTTTAAAAATGTAAAAAACCTACCGATTTGCTCATCGGCATCCTCAAAAGTGGTTGGTGGGGGTGGCGGTGGTGGTACACCGGCAATATTACCTCCATTTCCAAACACATCTCCATAAACAGGACGTCCTAGCTCATCCACGGGAGGTTTACCCCATCCGCCAGGGTGATAACCAAATGCACAACCATCCGGAATAGGAGCATTTAGACCGGGAATCTTCAAATTGGGATACGAAGGAGGTGGACCATATCGTTGCATAGCAATCAACCATGGTGGAGGATATCGCTCAGCACCCTTAAGTGAAAGTTGCAGAAAGTGTATTTTATTTTCGATACTAGGAGAGTGGGAAAATAATCTGCTTTTAATGGCCCTGAATTATCTGACTCCACTTTAGTCGTGTGATTATCGTTACTGATATAGACATGTCACCAATCCTAGCATATGATCATCGACTTAAATAACGTTAGTGTATAAGGGAATTAAATAAGTCAAATGAGATAATGGATTTTGAATATGCATATTTCGTACAATCGTTAATCGGAAAGCGAAGCAAAACAAAATGACACCCAGTGGAGAAGACGGGTGGGTCAACTCGATTTAATTAAGTGTTAATCGATATTCCTATTCAAACAAAAACTAATGAATTTAAATCGGAAATTCAGTGTATGGTGTGAACCACAATTAATGTAATCAGGGTTATCAGGCTGAAATCATGATAAAAAGAACGAATTAAGTGTATAAACCACCAAAAAACTAAAAATATAGTCTTAGGTTAATTTGATTCACACTTGTGACCTACTGCATCTAAATAATAACATGAGGCCTCACTTATCTATGGTGTCATCTTATAAAAGGCGAACAAGTTTGTTGGTAAATACACGCATCAAAACTATACTATTTTATCAAAATCCTATCAAACTTTGATCACTACCAAAATAAAAACCATTAAGTTGTTTGTCTTAAAGATAAAACCAACATACTATTCTGAGTAATTATCTTTAAATCATTATCTAATCCCAAAAGAAACGCGATATGGTTAACAGTTTTCAAACAAATCAACACAAGTTCCCATATAATTTATATACGAATAAGACCACGAAACAGAGCTACACGATATCACGTAAAAATTAGGAAAGAATGGTACTTGAGAATTGTACAGTATGTGACGAATAGGAGCAAAGTACATCATACAAGCGTCTCAGATCGTAAAAAGGAACCAGGAATCCGATGAAATTTTATTTCGTTTGAAAATGCTGACAAAGCCCCCTAATAAAAATAAAGTAGGTCTGAAAAGTTTGGCTCTAATAGGTTACAGATCCGTAGGGGATGTGATAAACTAACACATAAACAATCTATGACTACATAGTAAAAATTTAAAACTTACGGAGCCAGACGGTAAACCTAGAGCATTTCGAAGCTCATCTGACATATTACCAGGCTTTTTCTCCTTCAGTTTTACTTCAAATTCTTTGCCTTCATAATAAAGATCGCCATGAATTGATAGTTTGGGTTTGGTTTGGTACTTAAAGAAAGCATCGTGCAATTTGTGATAATCGATATCCACCTTTCCAACTTTAGGACGAATTTTTTCACGCATTTTTGTTTTCAATGTTTTGTCAGAATCCTGAAAATTAGTTTAAGAAACTATTATTATCATTATTATTGCACAGTCTTCACAATTTAAGGACTGCAAAACATCTTACTAATATGACTATGATAATACCAATGACTTAACTAAACTTTGATATTGGAATACTACAGCTCCGTTCTCTCTTAGCCCCGGCTACTCCAAAAGAAAAATCTATCAGAAAGATTTATCTAATATAGATCAAAGAAGACTAATTCACATTCGAATTCATCCCATTACACAGAGATTACATGCAGTAATTGTTGCTTAAAGAAACTATTACATTGGAAAATCGCCGCAGAATTAATACAATTGAATAAAAGTAAAAGTAACGCGAAATAATATGGGGTCAATCAATACAATAAAAGTGTACTGGAAGTCCAAATCACATTAAATCAATACATAATCATACGCTTGATGTCTTCCGAATAATTGAATTTTGAAGATTTGATATCCCCGATACCCGCCCCCAATTAACAATGAACTACTCTAGGGTTTACCTGGAAGTTTTCCATCTTCCGCCGATGTCAGTCGGACTATGTCCTCGCCCATAAATCAAACTCAGGCATTTGATCTGCCTGGTTCTTTGTGGGTTGGCAGAACGAAGGTAATCAGAAAGAAGCATGAGAATGTTACTGTGGCTATGTGTGTCCGGGAAGTATTTGTCTTACGTAACCGATGTTTAGTCCACCTGTCTTTTCCTACGACTACTTCATACAACATCCTTCCATGGCTTTCTATTACATACCTTTCTATTCGTCGACTATAGAGACCGGGAGTTGCGGACGAACATTGGCATATTAGGTCGGAATCCTAGGGGGATTGGCTGATATTTGAGGTAGTGTTGGCGCAGCATGGTGTGGTTTTTCAGCTCTCGACCGATCAAGGCTTTTACTAGTGATAACTTGTTTGGGGCTGCATCATTAAGAGTGGGGTAATATATAAATGCGAAACTAGAATTCTGGAAGTACCCTCTTGAAGGTATTCACGAAACGTTGAACTTATTCATTTAACTGTGTATCATATGGCAGTGTTTTTAGCTGCCAGTTTATGACAAACTATTTGACTTTCTGAGTCGTAGTCGCTGAGTAGTGCTTGTTGAATATGCTTCACAGCCACCAGAAATGCTCAAATGGCACTGGACAAGTGAATTACTGCATAGGTTTTCGTAGAGAACGTAGCGATTGCCGGTTTTTCGGTTTCCATTAGCCACTCATCTATTCATGTACCAAAATCCAGTGAATTCAGAAAATCACACTTTTTAAGACGCAGCCGGGACATGTTTTCATCATAGGACTGTCAAGGTTTGGTCATTCGGCAACAACTAAGATACAATAGAGTTACTCCTGGAATATTAGATAACGATGCACATCAGTTGAATGGCCTTGGATAACCAAATGGATAGTGGTCCCTGGGATTTGTAGGCAGAAATTCATGAGTTGTGTCCGTTGGTAACAAGCTTTTCCAAAAGAAGCCACCACAAGAGGGTGGTAATTAGGTTAGCCGAGACTAGGAGAAAATAATTATACTATTCAAGACCCATCGAGAAATCAGTAGATTCCTAATCAGCCGTATAGTTTCCTACAAAATAGGGGCTGCTTATGCTGAATAGGTAACTGGTGTGATGACGTCCTGTTGATGTAATTGTAAAGTCTCATTGACTTTTATCAGGTATGCATAGAGAGTGGATCTTTAAAGTTGCGACAAGAAAAACGTTAAGGTAGTAGTAACGCTGCTTGAATACTTTAGCAATAACCTAGACCTGATTTCAAAACATCGTCGTACTATTTCAGCAGCTTCATTAAATCGTCCGTATACATAGCGGATTGAACGTCATTACGTACAGAACTAAGGGATATGTCAGCTAAATAAAGACTGTCAAACCAGTTGATATTGTTGTTAGTTGTAGGTCGGCTTCTTAAGATTCCAATGGCAATAATCGTCTTTACAACCAATGGTGTTTGAAAAAGTAGAACTTGGTAAAATGCCATATTCCACAACCCCGGCATGGAGAATGTAGAGTCGTTCGGAACGGAAACTTTTTTTCAAACTTGAATTTCCTGAGAAAACAGACGCGACCGGTTTTGTTTTTCGATAAACTATATGTTCTTTAGTGCAGCTCTAACAACCAAACTGAACAAGTGTGATATCACACTGCAAGTTCACAATTGTTGATACTCATTTGTGACATTGCTCAATGTTAGTTCTATTTCCTGATCCAGACGAATAAGTAGGTACATTCTAAATTATTGAATTTGGATGAATGTAAACTCCAAATGAGTATTAATAACTTGTTCTTTTGTTGCCGATTTAAGCTTAATTTTTTCGAACTTCGTATTCACAACGAAAACATGCATGGAGAAATCATCTGTTTCATATATTAACTTCAAGTAGTGCGAGTGCTAAACAGGGAAGTTATCGACATAACGTGACTTAAAGACTTACATGTTTCGTAAATATTTTATGGCGTGATTTGCAAGGTATGATGTAGCAGTAAGTGTCTAGTTCTACTGGACCAAGTCTACTGAACAATTAACTGATTTACCGATAGTCTTGCGCAAGCAAAATAAACTTCAAACAGGTCTTCACACAACCGAAACCATGTATCAACAGTTACATTTGTTTCAGGAGCATAAATACATTTAGCCATGCTGTAAGCAATTCCATCTTTTGAACGTGCAACACTCGAAACACGGACAGAGAATACTATAGATAGAAGCTTGAAGTCTGTAAAGTTTCATTGACCTAAGTTGTTGACTCAACAGTAACTCCACTTTAACAGAACCAAACTAAATAAAACTTGGGAAATATGTAGATGACGGTTACCAGGATAAAAGAGAAAATGTAACCAAATTTAAGGAAAAAACTTAATGAACTCACTTTGTCTTGTACCGTTTGTCGCATCTCCATAATCCCTGTGCGAGCAATGAAGTCGGGTAGGCGAAAAGGAGGTTTCTCGAAACCACGTTTACCCTGTAAATATTTTCTTTTTGCACACCAATGTTTGGGACTGGTACAGTATTTCGATATGCCTTCAAGAAAGCTAATAAAAGTGGATCTTTGGCACAGACATCCCACATTTCGATGACATCGGGACGTGCTACCATCTGTTTAAGTGCAGCAACGCTAGGACGGTTGAGACGCTTTAGCTTTTTCTTGCTTAGTGTCTCGACCCCATTAGATCCTGAGTCTAAACCCCCTGCAGAACCAACTTTGGACTGTGAACCTTTATTCGATTCAGGATCTTGACTCGGGAAACGCCGCCTGGCTTCATTTGCTGAAGCCTCTTCGGCAAGAAGTGCGGCAGTACGAGCCTTCAGATTGATGTCAGTATGTGATACTGGTTTAGAGGGAACAGAATCTGCCTCGTCATCAGCCAACTATAAATAAAATAAATACAAATACTTCAGTATGGGATTTTTGCAAATTTTTAGTACGATAGGGTTAAGAAAGCCATGGGACTGCATCTCCTGACGTTCCTCCATTGTCTTGTGGATCAGACCTTTGGGTCAGTCTCTGGGTGTGGCCCCCTAAGGAAACCATCTGCTTCGGTTTGGGCACCCAGGCAGTATCCCAGCCCTCAAATTAATCATTTGGTTTATGTGGTGCATACCTATTCGGTGTCTCCTTGGACCAATGTTTGTATTTAAATAAAAGAAATAAAAGAAAGTAACTAAGTAAATAATTTATAATAGTGCACAAAAATTGAAGGGATCTTTAAGAACATGCATCCACGTGAAGTTCTGAACAATGACTACAAGTTATAATATGATGCTGTAAATACTAAAATTTCTAAGATTTGGTAGCTAATAGATTGTAAGCAATCCACAGATTAAGGGGAATGTTCCAAAATAAGATGACGAAAATTCCTCAAAGCTGTTATAGTATAAAGGTAAGTCTGTTAAACTTTTTTTCTTTAAATATAATCTTGATCAGTCTGCCAAAGACAGTGAGACATGGAGCGAATGTGCATAACTCATGTTAGGAAAGTGAGAGGCAATTAATACAGGAACCAGAGGATGGGAAGTGTTAATGGGAAAATAGCGTCCAAAATATGGTTCAGAAGACAACTAAAATCAAGGCGTCCAACCCTATCACTGTCCAATGTTATCACCTACTCCTTTTACACACGGGCCAGGAGTGACACCAGGCACTCAGATTACAACATATAAGCATTTGGATACAAAATCATTAACCTTGAAAACACCACGAAACGACAGCAATTCAAAAACACAGGAATTTGACTTGATGCATTTCGAAGTAAAAACACTTCGAAGCCGAACACACAAAAAACAGCCATATCTACATTTCTGAACATTTTTCAGTTTCTTTTCGATTTCTGAGATTATTGAATTTTGTGTTGGCATCAAGCAGTCGTGAAACCTGAATCACGAAGTACTACTTCAGAGGTTCGTAGTAACTAATGCATGAAAGACAAGGAATAGTAGTAATGCTATTTATATGTTGGATTAAACAAGACCCTTCTTTTCAAATGCCTCCCACAGTGAAATTTAAAGCATATGTGCGTAGAATAAGGCTAAAACAGTTTACGATGAAAAGCATTGACAAACGTGAGATAGAAAGAATATAAAAACTTATCGCCGGTGAATAAGGTGTGAAACATGTTACTTGAGTCTAGAGATGACGAAAATGAACAAAATTACAGACAGCCCCTCAGTGAATAAAGACAAATTATCAAAACTAACAACCAATCGCACAGCGTGTATGCTTATTTCAAGTTGTATGGTTTCTAAAACGTAAGTCAATTCTTAATGTCTTGAAGCAAACTATCAATAGACACAATGACCTATCACTAAACAACACGACGGACCACCAATCGTCCACTCACCTTAAAGCGTTCGAACGGTCCTTTATATTGAAACTCAATAATTTCATCCTCTGGTTCAGGGTCACTTTCCTCGTCTTCATGCACTCCATTAGGATAGTCTGAAACCCCATTTAACGAATGCGGCTGGTTTTTCAGCTCTCTACGCCGCTTCAGTGAAGCTTTCTTCCTTAATTTCTTTTTCCTGTTACGTTCTTGTTGTCTACTGAGTCCATAGGAGAAATTAATAGAGTCAAACGACGGTTCAGCTGAGCTCGTAAAAGTCAACGCCATAACGCACAAAACACAAATATGGCGCTTCAAAACTCACGATAATCAATGACGTTGTGACAAGCTCGTATTTGTTTTTAGTCGCTTCTCGAAGAAAATGGCATGATTCCATGTGATTGTTATCGTTCAGTGCAGGAAGCTTGGTCTCTCAATCGAACGAATTTTGGTAGATTTGATAATTAATTTAAGGGTAATAGACTAAAGGAGACTACATTAAGGATGAAGAATACATTTTAAAAATCTCGGTAGTTGAATTTAAGGTAAATCCGATGTTTCACTTGGATATATGGTTCAAGCTTTTTCGCAGAAAATATTTCAAAAAACTCGGCACCCAAACATAGAAACTGTTCGTCTAAATTTAGTTTCAGAATGAAAAGGTCAGGAGGTCATATAGCCTGTGTCAGTCCACGCAGTGGAAGTCTAGATATGTGAAGCCTCAATCACATGTTGTGATAATGAATTCCATCATTTAATGATTCCATGGAAAAGTCCATAGTCAACCGACAAGTAATTTGTTCCAGGCTTGTGAAATTTTCCAGTGCCCTGGTTAACCCTCATTTTTTGGAAGATGAGAAAAGCAAAGGCATATCATACTCAAACTTATCACTAAGTAAGTTGAAGCCGCGATCAAATCGCTTCTGGTTCATGTATATGGCAGTAAAAATAGGTTTAGTGTAGCCAGTCGAGCATCACACGGGAGCCTTTTTATCCCGGGAATCAGCTTAATTGCGGTTTTTTCAACCCTTTCCAACAGCTCGCTGCTTCATTTTAAGCAGAAGCTAGCCACTTGTATGTTTTACCCGAGTTTAGGACGAACGAATACCGTATATAAAGTCAAAAGGGTTTTAGCATCGACATGGCTAAAGGCTCTATGTATTGACCATAAGGTTCTAAAACCTTTGGTGAATATCTCACGTCAGTTTGAAGTAGTTTTTAAGTATTGGCTAACGATTAACCCTAAGTCATTTTGTACCTGGACAACAGGTAGCTCAGTGTTATTCACTATGTATGTATTTGTACCTTGGTGACCAATATGCATCATAGTGCACTTAAAAACACTTGCTGGCGATTGCAAAATTTTAAACCGTTCAGATGATTTTTCAGGTCGTTTTGAAGATATAAACTACCACACTTATTTTTTACAGCTCTCCGTATTTGCATATTGTCAGCACGTGACAAAAGCAATGACAATAGGAAACTAGGAAGGTCATTTACGTATAGGGGAAACAACAAAGGCCCCAAAACTGTACCCTGATGTACTTTGTTAAGCACAATTTTTCATCTGGACAACTTCGGATTCACATGTACTCTTTGCTGACGCGCAGCTAGGAAGTCCTCCATATACATAAAGAACCTGCCACCAATCCCAATATTACTTAGTTTATATAACAGCTGGTTCTGAGGATCTTTGTCAAAAGCTTTGCTGAAGTCAATATAAGCTAAATCCATAGGTAAATTTGGATCTTTAAAAGCACACTATATTTCACGGACTACTGATGAGCTAATAAAACACAGATAACATGTTCTAAAGCTATGGTGCTTTTAAGAAAGAATCCCCTGTTCGTCGAGATACTTAAACAACTTTCGAATAATCTCTTCTAAAACTTTAAGAATCATGCTGGTTAGACTCATCGGTCGATCGTTCTAGGGTTTGTGTATCGTAACTGCTTTGAAGATAGGCCTCAGTACATCATTCTTACAGTCTTTTGGTAATTGACCCTGGGTTATAAATAGGTATAAACATATGCTTAAGGGATTTGTGAAGACATTTGCTGATTCCTTCAGTAACCTAGAATGTATTTCATCGGGTTCCATGTACCTGCCTACATCAAGCTCATTTAACAGATCGGTTGCCTCTTAGTGGCATCAAATCCTAACCAGAATCCTCAAAGCTGAACATGAGATAACTGGGAAAATAGACATTCAACATGTAACACTAAGGGAAAGTCAATAATGGTGGACGCATGGACGTTCATTGGGGATTTAATCCATCGGGTGGCATGACTCAGCCTTGCAGACGTGATCATCCTTATTCAACTTATCTCTTTTATTTATACTAAATATATTGTTCTATCTCCAGCCTAAATGTGTTTGCCATCATGTATTGGTAACGGTTACTATACGATGAGTCAGTGTAGACAATGATGTGACTTCCACGTAAAATCTTATAGATTATGTAGTTACTTCATTACAAATCTACGATCCAAGGGTTAGGTTTATTATTAAATCAGTACCAGTAACGAAAGAGACCATAATTCTACAATGGTATCATTTTTTGTGTCTAGATTACGCTTGTTAATGCTTCTTTTAGCGGCACTCATCATTACAATGGCTTCGGACAGCAAGATTTTGAGTCCGAACAGCACTACTGATACAACCACATGCAACTATTTTTACTTAGCCGTTTGTAAGCCGTAAGTGTGTTTGATTCGTATAAACTTCGTCGTACCATCCTTTGCATTCATCACACCGCATGCCACTTCTCATAGGGTATCTACAGTCTGGGTGTTGAGATTCACGACTTATTACTGTCCAAACATAAATCAGTGGTTTTTAAAAAGAGACTAGATACAAACAATACCTAGAGACGAAAGAAACTAACGGCCAGGAAAAGTGAAAATCTGTGAGTTTTTAGAATCAAAAGTGCAAACAAATACAATAAATCAATGCACATAAAAGTACAGAGGATGAATTACTTTCGGTAAACGACACTCTTGGCGAGTGCTCTGACTAAAATAAATTTCATTATAGCAATAACAGTAGTTTTGATGCGTAATAAACAATAAAATCAATAAAATCAACCCGGTGAGGAAAAATGCTACTGTTTGCTTTCAGAAGCGCTCGTGGTAATCTGAACGAAAGTTCTAACATGAGAGACTACGTTTGTTCTAGGGAAGTAATGATGTTACTGCAAGTATTTATCGCGTCGAAGAGCAAGATGGTGATTATTTTCAGCATGAAACATTATGAAACTAGTGTGTGATGGAGCGAAAAGAGAGGACCGTCAAGGTCAATCAATGAATGGATTACCCATCAGGTGTGAATAGACTTAAGTCTAGGAGTATCAGGTAGGCTGTGACGAGGAGTGAAGTAAGAAGAAGTGGATCAATAATAAATGTAATAATAATGGAAATAATTATGATGGTTGTGGTAAGATAAGAGAAATGTATCATACAGCTGTTCCCGGCGAACAGTCATTACTCAGTTGTTGAACCACTTCTTAAATGTTTCGGCTGAGTGCTCTTTGGTTATGTCTGATAAAAGAGCATCTCATGTATTGTTGACTCCGGATAAAGGAGTGTGATGTTATTTGAGTGTAAACTTTTTGACGACAAATAGAACGTGGGTTACCTCGTAAAGCCCATTGTTAGGGTTCAGGTAGGGTATTTTAATTTAGCTGGATGGTCAAATTGAACACGAGGGAAAAACTGGGAAGTGTAAGAGCTCTCTGTGTCAAGTTTAGTTTTTGTACAACAAATCAAGGGAAGTTACAGAACTTCAGACGGATTTGGCTTCTGAATGTTTCTGGAACCATAATAAATATAGTAACGACGTAGGTAATCATTCAGTCAGAAATGGGACACAGGGCTTATCACGTGTCCCTGATGTTTTTGATCGGATAAAATGTTTTCAGACGTTTTCAAGGCCCCTCTTGACTTTGTCGAGGAAATCTTTGGATCTCCTTAACACAGGCCACCTCTTATTCTTCAGTGACTTGGCGATATCTAACCTAGGTAACATTTTCGTTCTCATAGGATTCGCCAAATTTGCAGCACGTCTATGTACTTGCTTGAAGAAATTCGTGTCCGTTTCGGGATGAAGAAAGGCTATAATCTCGCGAGCTTCTTAATATGAATGATGATAGGTTTTGAGAATTATTAGAAAAACTTAAAGGGGTAGCATTCTTGGCTGTTTTTGGCCAAAGTTAAGAGTATTGCGTGCTTTGGCAGTATCCCACTTGTAGTCGTTTAGCGTTTTCGAACATTTTTTGGTAAAAGACCTAGATTGCACTTCATCGGGGTTCTAAGTAGGCAGCGGCAGCAGAAGAGGTAGTGTGTTCAACAAATCTCTCATGTTCAGCATTCTTGCCAAGGATTTTAAAAGCTCTCAATTCCTCCCATTTCTGACCACTAAGAAACGTTTCTGGATAACTTTTATTTTCCGGACATTTTAACTGTTTAGCAAATGTGCTTCCATCTTACCAGCAGTACATGTTTCTTTGTTCTGTGGAATATCGTTTTACCAAAGTTACTTATGAGACTACCCTGATTAGAGGTGCCGAATTTAATATTGTTTACTCTGAGTCTAACATTGAAAATGTAAAGTTATTAACAAAAATTCTAGGAATCATGAGAAGCACGATAACCCACCTAGTAGTCAGAGAGTCTTACTGAAAGTATGGGTTACGATTAAATGTGAATCAACAGCGTCTATGCAGTAAGATATTCGTACAATTTTCAACTCCGTATCGAAAAGCTCTTGGTCTCTTGTAGGAGAAATTCAGTGGGTCACTACTCTTTGAAGTTCATGGAAGTGCACAGTTCTGTAGTTTCTTTGGGATGTTTTCTGTTCTTCATCGTCTAGCAATGTCTGGTCATTGTACTTCAACAGACTCGACACTAATCAGAGGGAGAATGAGTCGGGAGCAAGATAAACCCCTAAATACAGCGGCTAAAACACAGGGATAATAACATAAGATTTAATATAGGAATTACCTATTACACTTCTAATGGTATATCAATCCACAAAGTAAATAGTCCTGTAAATCCTAGGAATTAATAACGATCTTATCGTTTTTACTGAGCACACTCTAGTTGGGGACGCTCGGTCACCAATCCCACCAGACCACAATTGTGTGCTCCGTGATAGGCTTCCTTCGCAACAAGCAATCAGTTTAAATCATGTGGTGAATATATCATCAAATTCCCTCGTTCCTGAATTCTAATTTGACTGACTTTGAGATACTCCATTATAAAAGTGGTACAGACAATGACATCATCAATCTCCGAATATCGTAACATTCTTGCACCTATAAGTACTGATTGGTCAGGATCCTATCCTTTAAACAGAAGTCGAAATTTAATTCAAATAATACCAGAACACTTTCCACCAAAGCACAGATTTCAGTAGTGTCCCGTAGTTTTTCTTATCGAAAGTGTAGTCTTTGACAAAGTGTATCGCATCTCGCATTAGTATCAGTATTGTACCGATGTTTTGTGAGGATTCCCACACTGTCGCGCGTACATTTTACTTTAGTACGTTATTGAAGCACTTACTTACGCCTGTTACTCCTAATGGAGCATAGGCCACCGACCAGTATTCACCAACCCACTCTGTTCTGGGCCTTCTTTTCTAATTCCATCCAATTCTTGCTCGTTTTTCTCATGTCTACCTCCATTTCTCGGCGTAATGTGTTCTTTGGTCTTCCTCTCCTCCTTTGGCCTTGAGGATTCCATGTGAGGGCTTGTCTTGTGACGCAGTTCGGTGCTTTCCTCAATGTGTGTCCTATCCACTTCCAGCGCTTCTTCCTGATTTCTTCCTCCGCTGGGATCTGGTTTGTTCTCTCCCACAGTTTGTTGTTGCTAATAGTGTCCGGCCAACGGATCTGAAGTATTTTGCGTAGACAACTGTTAATAAACACCTGTATTTTCTGGATGATGGCTTTCGTAGTTCTCCAGGTTTCTGCCCCATACAGTAGAACTGTCTTGACATTTGTATTGAAAATCCTGACCTTGGTGTTGGTTGACAGTTGCTTTGAATTCCAGATGTTCCTCAGTTGTAAATATGCTGCTCTTGCTTTGCCGATCCGCGCCTTCACATCTGCATCAGATCCACCCTGTTCATCAATGATGCTGCCCAAATATGTAAAGGTTTTTACATCTTCCAAATCTTCTCCGTCAATTGTGATTGGATTGGTGCATGCTGTGTTGTATCGGAGAATCCTGCTTTTCCCTTTGTGTATATTGAGACCTACTGCTGCTGAGGCTGCTGCCACACTGTCGTCTTCTCCTGCATCTGTTGTTGCGTTTGGGATAGAAGGGCCAGATCATCTGCGAAGTCTAGATCGTCCAACTGCATCCTAGATGTCCATTGTATCCCGTGCTTCCCTTCAGACGTTGACGTCTTCATGATCCAGTCGATCACCAGGAGAAAGAGAAAGGGTGAGAGTAAGCAACCTTGCCTGACACCGGTCTTCACTTCGAACGACTTTGTCAACTGTCCTCCATGCACGATTTTGCAGTTTAATCCATCATATGAATTCTGTATGATATTGACTATCTTCTGAGGCACGCCGTAGTGTCGAAGAAGTTTCCATAGTGTTGTTCTGTCCACGCTATCAAATGCCTTTTCGTAGTCAATGAAGTTGATGTAGAGTGATGAATTCCATTCAATTGATTGTTCCACAATGATCCGTAGAGTTGCGATTTGGTCTGTACACGATCTATCCTTACGGAATCCTGCCTGTTGGTCACGAAGTTGGGCGTCTACGCAGTCCTTCATCCTGTTTAACAATACCCTGTTGAAGACTTTTCCCGGTATTGAGAGAAGAGTGATGCCCCTGTAGTTATCACAGTTGCTGAGATCGCCTTTCTTCGGTATTTTGATCAGAAGTCCTTCTTTCCAGTCTTTGGTACTTGTTCCTCATCCCAAATCTTATTGAAGAGAATGTGGAGTATCCTTGCAGTTGCCGCTACGTCTGCTTTTAGTGCCTCTGCTGGAATGTTGTCCGGTCCTGCTGCTTTGCCACTCTTGATTTGTCTGATGGCCATGCTGATTTCTTCAATTGTTGGTGGGCCAACATTGATTGGGAGGTCCGTGGGTGCTGCTTCGATGTTGGGTGGGTTCAGTGGAGCTGGTCGATTCAAGAGTTCTTTGAAGTGTTCTACCCACCTGTTTTGTTGCTCTTCAATGTTGGTGATTACCTCGCCTTCCTTGCTTTTCACTGGTCGTTCTGGTTTGCGGCGATTTCCAGAGAGTTTCTTTGTCGTGTCATACAATTGTCTCATGTTTCCTTCTCTTGCAGCCTTTTCCGCCGTCGTTGCTAAATCTTCCACATATTTACGTTTGTCGGTTCTGATGCTCCTCTTCACTTGTTTGTTTACTTCTGTGTATTCAGCTTGTGCCTTGGCTTTTTCTGCTCTTGTTCGACTGGTATTGATTGCTGCCTTCTTGTTCCTTCTTTCTTGAATCTTATCCAGTGTATCAACAGTGATCCATTCCTTGTGATGGTGCTTCTTGTGACCCAGGACCTCATGACATGTTGAAGTGATTGCCTCTTTGATCCCCTTCCAGTTGCTCTCCACAGTAGTTCCTTCTCCATTGAGTAGATCATGAAAGGCCTGGAACTTGTTGCTGAGGACTATCTTGAATTTGTTGAGTTTGTTAGTATCCTGAAGAAAGGCCGTATTGAACTTTTGTGATATTGTCCGCCCCGTTGTCCAGTGCTTCTTGAGTTTCAATTTCATCTTGGCGACCAGCAAGTGATGATCTGATGCTATATCAGCTCCTCTCTTGGTTCTCACGTCCTCTATAGTCCTCCTGAACGTTTTGTTGATGCAAATATGGTCGATTTGGTTTTGTGTATAGTGATCCGGTGAAGTCCATGTGGTTTTGTGTATGCGTTTATGTGGGAATATGGTGCCGCCTATGACCAGCTTATTGAAGGCACATAGATTTGCAAATCTCTCACCATTTTCGTTTCTTTCTCCCAGTCCGTGTCGTCCCATGATGTCTTCATATCCAGTGTTGTCCGTTCCAACCTTGGCGTTGAAATCTCCCATCAGAATAGTCAGGTCCTTTGTTGGGCACTTCTCGACGATTGACTGCAGCCTATTGTAGAATTGATCTTTAGCGTCTTCATTGTAGTCGTTGGTAGGCGCATAGCATTGGATGATGTTCATTGAAATACCCTCTTTCTTTGTTTTGAACGAGGCTTTGATGATCCTTGGTCCATGAGATTCCCATCCTATAAGTGCATTTTGCGCTTGTTTGGACAGCATCAATGCAACTCCTTGTGTATGTGGTGCATTTTCTTCATGGCCGGAGTATAACAGGAGCTCTCCTGTAGTTAGTCGTTGTTGTCCAACTTGTGTCCAATGTGTTTCACTGATCCCAAGTACCTCTAGGTTGTATCTTCTCATTTCTGCAGCAATTTGGAAGGCTCTCCCGGTGTCCCACATTGTACGAACATTCCATGTACCTAAATAAATGGTCGCTCTGGTTGTCAGAAGGGGCATCGGCCTCGTAACTTCCGAAGGAATTCGGCTTTCATCATGAGGCGTCATAATTCTTCTAAATGAAGACCTTCTGACTCCCAGGGCAGAGTTTAAAAGGTTTGAATAATTTTTTCTGGTTAGCGTTTTTTTAGCGAGTTAGTTTTCTACGGGATGGGGACGCTAACCCCATGCCCAACCCTCCTCCTTTATCCGGGCTTGGGACCGGCAGTAGCCCCCGGAGAAACTCCAGGCGGAGTTTTATTGAAGCACAGTTGACTGATATGCTTGTAGCTTACGAACCAAGTATCAGAAATCCAATTCGAATACCAAACGGTTACTCGTAAACTACAAGGAACCAACTGAAATGTATTGTTCTAGTCATAATCCTAGCAATTGCACAATAGACCTTGAACTACTAGATTTTCAGGGCGAAATTTCCAAAATGCCAAACAAAAATAGCGTGAAGCCGAGGATGTGTAGGATCAAAGTTATGAATGAATAATTGCGAAGTCTAATTGAACTAAATATATGCAGAGGAGAGTGAAGTTTATTATATTCCATGTTACAGTCATTAAGCAGTTGGATACTTTCAGCACCATCCAGTGATCAACCAATTGCAAATGTTTTACAGCCCTACAGGAGGTCAGTCGCGGCACGGACAGCTTAGTGGTAACGTCTCTGACTGTAGAGCTGGGTGAAACGGCATGAAACACTTTAGCAGGCAGAAATTTAACTAAATTTAGAAGTAACCACTGTATTTAAAAGTGCAACATTGTGTAAAACTTAAGTCAAGAGTCTCTGCAGGTTTGTAAATCACAGGTGACTGAAAAGTTTTCTAAAGTTTCCCCACTTTAACTTAGAGCGAAAGTGGTAGTTTTTAGGCGTGTCAATTGGTCATATTTTAGTCTCACTGAAATCTGTGAAGAGTGGGATCCTCCAGGTGATGTTTTTAGTATTTTGTATTCCTATCAAATGCAGGATTCTACAACCAGCTTTTATAGGGGCTACGAAAATAGAGCAAGTAATGTTTGAATAAACATAGGTGAGAGCATGACGGCATCTTCTAAAGGCTTGAGGAATTATGGACAGCTGGTCTAATATTTCTGAAGTCAGGTAGGGATACGTCCAGAACAACCCAAGGGATTTGTAATTGTGAGCTTAAATATCAGGCAGTTGTATTAGAGTGGATCCAGCGAATACAGACGAAACTGATGAAACACCTTTCTGAAGTATCGTATATTAGTATACTACGACATGACTCGTTCCCTCCGGCTTGCAGCAATTAGGAGGTAATCAGGCAATGACTTTCTAGTGAGTGATGATTTTGATATTATCGTATTTTCCTAACTTCTTCCATTTACAGCTGACCATCGGAGAGAACTTTCCCATAATGTCCTAAAAGTGAAGTTCATGTACTGTCGTATCATTTATTCGGACGTAACTTAACGAAGCTTTTCCGCCCTATATGAGATGAGAATCTTCATTTTTTGAAAAAAAATCATAATTGTAGTAACATAAATTTTGAGCAGTAATGTAAGTCTCTTGGCTTTTAGCACCTCGGGAGACCGAGGCGTGTCATTCAAAGCTGACGTTACTTTGATTAGTCACGGACTGCAATGGCACTGACTTCTGCTGCTGGACTTGTTTCTCTTTTGGACGACAAGGGTTCTGATGTCAAAGTAAAATCAACCAATTTATTTCACTTATTCTCACTTCAGGCATTTGCCCTAAAACGTCTCTATGATATGGTTGACGAGTTTTGGGCTGAAATCTCAGAAGCAGTAATGAAAATTGAAATACTTCATGAAGACTCTAATTTTGAATATAACAAACTTGCTGCTTTGCTTGTGTCCAAAGTTTATTATCATCTAGCTGTCTATGATGATGCACTTCACTACGCTTTATGTGCTGAAGAGCTTTTCGATCTAAATGCGAATACCGAATTTGTGGAAACCATTATTGGTAACTAACAAATACTAATTACAACTGTATAGCTAAATGTATTGATAAGTATACCGCTCTTCGAACTGCTCAAGATCAGCTTGTGGATTCGTCCGGTTCCGTTGTAACAGAAAATTCAGACGACAGTACTTGGTCTGTTACTAGTCCAACATACAAAAGACTGGAACACGTTGTCAACAAAATGTTTGACCGTTGCTTTGATCACAAACAGTATAAACAAGCCCTGGGAATAGCTATTGAAACTCGAAGGTATGTTTTTGGTGTAATCCCATCAATGTTTTTTACATAATGATAACCATCCACCAGACGCGTTCGTCTACAAAGTGATGCCTCATAAATTTGTGTCTAGTAAGACCGCGAAGAAGGTCTCGAAGGCTAAGCTGCCGAAGGTTGATAAGAAGAAGAAGAGAAAGAGGAAAGAGTTATGCTATCTACATCTATAAAGTTTGCCAAGTTCATCCTGACACTGGTATCTCGTAGAAGGCAATGTCAATCATGAACTCGTCTGTGAACGATATCTTTAGGCGCACTGTCGCGGAAGCCATCCAACTATCTCACCACGACCTGCGAACTACACTGTGTGTATCACCGTGTTCAATTGAACTTCCATACTTTCAAGTCATTGTCAGAGTCCTTTAGGCTATCTGTTTTCTAGGTCGATTTTCTATACCAACTGAGATCTTTCTGTTATTTTTTCTATTCGATTATAAACGTATATAATCCTATGGAGTCCATGCTTTTACGTGATTACTGTTCAATAAGTTAAGGTAAACACTCCGATGACGCACAGTGGTTAGTAAAGGGGATTATGGCACTAAATGGTTACGTTTTACTGCTCACACAGGTTTACAAATAAACAGATTTTGGCGAGACTATAATTTATGGACGAACCAATCAGGTTTAAGATAACTGGTCTTGGACTTTTTCGCGAAACTAATTCATTCACTTGGCTAAACAGAGTTTTGCCATTATAGCTGATGTCAGTTCATGATGTAAACCTTAAATCTACTTCATAACCCTAACTATCAACCGTAAATATTAGTCCTAATTACTCACACCTGTTTATGACCTTCATTTAGCCGTAGTATGTAGATAGGGATTCTCAAGGTCTTTCTAGCGTAGCCCGGAGGTCGTCCATTATTTATAGTTTCACCCACATTTTAAATAGATAGGAAGGTTGTTCACTTGGGATGAAAAGTAGTACTTACTCATTAGTGTTGAATGTGCTTTGAGGTTTGGACCATATCTCCTTCATTCGGGCTTCAAATATAACGGAAAGATAGCTCTTCTTTAGTCTTCATTTCTAATCTGTAATATGTGGTCACCATTAATTGGCTTTCGGTATACTAACACAACGTGGTAATTTAGGTACTCAAACAGTATATTAATTTTTTCTGACATCTAGCTACTTTTATTCCATCCGAAATCGCCCATGTAACATGGTTTTGAAGTACTGATCCAACTCATCGAGTTGAGTATTTGCTCTTTGTCACTCGCATATTTTCAACTGTTTGCCACTTTTGTACTGGAATGAAATATTTTAAGTGAATAAAATATCATTTTTTTCAGGTTGGACATATTTGAGAAGGCGATAATTTTGTCGGATGATCAAGAGGGCATGCTTCGTTATGCTTTTCGTGTTGTGCTCACTTTAATCGACAGTGTACGCTTGAGAAACCGTCTTCTTAAAATCTTAGTTTCTGTGTATATGAACCGAGCTCTTCCCTCAGATGCTGTAAATGTTTGTCAATGCTTAGTACTAATGGATGACCCACAGGTTCGTCAATTTTAAAATATTTTTTTCATTTGTTACGTTAGAATGTTCCATGAAATATTGTTTTTTAAGATTGTCAGCTAATTTATCAAGCGTAAGTTTCTATACGTAGCTAACGGCATTACCTGAGTATCTAAACCAAAGTAGGTCAGGAGGGTCTGAATTTAAAACATGTTAGTTGGAAGTCTTGTACTTTGACCATCAAGGTACTTCAACTAAGCCATTCACAGATATATCACTGAAAAGGAAGAGAATAACACTAAGACTAACGATTATGAACCTATGTATTAACGATGATGAATCAAGCGATAGTGTACCATTTAATACTATTTCACACCAACATAGATTACTCTAGATTTCAGACATACCAATTAACCTGATCTTTCTTAGTCATAATCTACACATATATTTGACCTCGTCGGTTATTCATCTGTTATCTTCATTGCTCTTATCTGAGCGTATATGCGTGAATGTTTATCACTTATTCTCTGTCATGTCTTAAGCTTGTTTTTCTGTCTGAATTAAAACATTTATTCACATTTTATTAAATTGAGTTTGCACGTTTGACTTTTCCAATTCGGCTTCTTTTCTCATTATCTGGGTCAGTAAATATATGAAATATACGTATCCAAAAACCATTCTCCTATTTGACCTGTTCTGTTATTCACTAATGTAAACCAAGTCGATGAATATGTAAAGGTTCAAGCAGGATATATATTTCGTTAACATCATCTTCCGATCATATGGAGTCAGATTGCGCGTCATTAATTGTCATTTTTTTATCTAGGGTTTAATTGCGGCTCGAATGGAGCATATCAATAGTCGATGAAGAACATACATTCGCACACATTTGAAAGATGTGATAACTCATCATCCTAAATCAAACCAAGAGACCTAAAATCTTTTTAAGAGGTTCATAAATACGTTTAATATTAACTTAATGGGAGGTGATAGCTGGTGTTTTTTTATTTATTTAAGCACATAAACATATGAGACACCGAATGCATATGCGACACACAAGTCACTTGATTTGTGTGTGTGCTGTGGTACTGCCCGGGCACACAAACTGAAGCAGGTGGTTTTCTTAGGTGGCCACACCCGGAGCCTTCGACCTAAAGATCTGATCCACAAGGCAGTGGGGCAACGTCAGGAGAGGCAGTCCATGGTAGCCGGTGACCAACAATTGGTTCATACTCCATTTGCTCCATCAGGATACTGGAGCCTATGTGCACCATTGGTTTGGAATCAGGGTTTTCCAACTTCCCTAGGTGGACTCTCCGTGTCCACTGATCCGGTTAAAGCGCCGGATATTCGCTTTTTGTCCACTCAATTTCGTAAAAGACACCGCTGTGAGGAGGTAGCGAGTAGGACTTCCGTGGTAGTAGCTGTATACGCATGGCCGTGTGAGAGCATTTCGATTGGGAAAACTGACTCTCCCCACTCTCGGCCGTACCAGAACATTTGGGTGCTGGGAGAAATTTTCGAGCAACCAAGCCAAAACTTGATGTCAGTCCATGAAATCATCAATTGTCGAACTGAGCCATGTATTTAGATTCAGATTATCTGGTTGTGGTTCTCGTAACTACTGTAACTGGTGTTTAGGGACTTCAGGTGACATGGATCAATATCGCTCGCAATGGTACAGTTGTGTTCATTCTTTGTGTACACTTAAATCTTGAATTTATTAATCATCTTAAAAGTTATTTTGTTCTACGAATTCATACTGTTTCGAACCATAGTTTTTATCCCTAACTTTTTCTTCTACCACAAATCCTGTTACTACTTAACTACTCTGAAATCCTGTTGTCATGATTTACTGTGACAACTTAAAATAAATCTACCAGGTTCTGTGTTGCATGTGACTTGTCGACCATTTTATTCTGTTTGCTCAGGAAAATTTTAGTTAAAAGATTAACTTTAAGAACCAAATATCATTTGATTCTGATGATATAAATTTAATCAGTTTTCATGTCGTTCATTATTTTAACAGTTTGAGAACATTTTTGTTGAAATTCGTAAGGAAAATAATTGTCCTACTTTTGTCATTGGTCAATAAATATACTAATCATTGAGTGGAATTCCACCTTCACATCATAATTTGTATGTTATCATGTAATGTGGTATTTTCATATGTGATCAAAAGCGCTGATGTATCATAATTTCATTAAAATGTGGTAATTTACTCAGTGGTTGATAAAGACATACTTTCACTAGCCCCTCTGGTTCCTCAAATTTTTCATTTCATTATTTACAGATAAATACACTAAGTGGTATATATTTACTCTCGTTTCAGGCCACAGCAGATACTCTGGAACACTTGTTACTACAATCACAAGAGGCAGCCGTAACAGCATATCAAATAGGTTTTGATTTGTATGAAAATGCAACCCAAAACTTTCTTCAACGTGTTTCAGCCTCTCTTGCCCGGAGCTCAAAGTTGAGTCATGTAATGAGCTTAATTGAACGTGATAAAAACGCTGCAAAAAGTTCAAAAACGCCGGAGGGTTCAGCTTGTACCACCGTTGAAACTACAGACGGCGATAAAAATAAATCAGACAACAAGGAAGCAGAAGAAGCAGTGGAAACTGCATTAGCTAGTGAAACAAACAAAGAGGCTGAGATACCTGCAGATGAACCGCTGTCAGAATTAGATAAAGAAATTAAAAATCGTCTTATGCACTTGGTCAGTATTTTATCAGGAGATAAAGTAAGCATCAGAATCGTACATAATTGGTTTTATTGTATTATTAGAAAGCTAATTTATTGTTAGACAGTATTTATTTTGATAAAATGGTAATGTATATTGTACTGACTAAATAGGGGTTGTCAGTTGACGCGAAGAGTATATCCTTTTTCTTATGCTTATCATCGCAAAATGTTTTTTGAACTGCCATTATTTTTGTGTAAATATTTCTTATTGATGAAAGTGGTTTCAAGCACTCATTAACCGTTAATCGAAGCGTGAATATTATTTCAGTAAATATCGTCAATATCGTCGACGGATCCACCAAATGAGGCGGAAGTCTGCGAGGAACTCCAACTTTTGAAGCACTACAAATCACCGGGCCCAGATGACTTACCTCCGGCTCTTTTTAAAGATGGTGATGACTTTCTGGTTAAGGAACTTACTGTGTTGTTTGCAAAGGTCTGGGAACTAGAGAGTGTACCAACGTCATGGAATAAGTCGATAGTTGTCCCTATCCTTAAAAAGGGTTCACGTCGTTCCTGTAACAACTATCGGGGGATAAGTCTACTTCCGATTGCGTCTAAGCTATTGGCTTCCGTCATACTTCGTAGGTTGTTCAAAATCAGAGAAAGACTGGCTCGCAAGGAGCAGGCTGGTTTTCGTTGTGGTCGAGGATGTATTGATCATATCTTCACCCTCCTCCAAATGTTAGAACACCGCCATACTTATCAAAGGCCAACAATCGTAGTGTTTCTTGACATCAGGGCTGCCTTTGATTCATTGGACAGGACTGTTCTCTGGGATTGTCTGTTGAATAAGAGTGTGCCTGTAAAGTTTTTTAGCATCCTAAAGACCCTATATTACAAACACCTCAGGTAGAGTGAAGGCATATGTTATAATCTCTTTTCTTACGGTTATGACCTAGCTATTCCTATTGCTTAGTATTCTCGGAAACCGATTCACTCGGCAAGTCCCCAAATCAAAACACGGTTGAACAGGAAAGAGATTATATTCCAAATAACAAGGTTAGATGGAAGTAAGATGCAAGTCAGAAGCACAATAGAGGAAACGTCAGTATATTTATAGTTTTTTACATGAGATGATTCTAGAGTATTCTCCAACTATCGGCTAGTGCTGATTGGATAGGAATTAGCCAATCAGCGTGCACCAAAGCAATCGTGAATTGAGCATGCTTTAATCCGGTCTATGTCCCGCTAACACCTCCCCCTTTGAACAGATTCGTAGGATCTGGTGCTAGGGTCCAACTGCGACTGAGTGACTGGCTTGTGCTCTCGATTAGTCCATCGTCTAGGCAATAAAGAATTATCACTTTTTTCTTGCACAGAGACTGACGTGTCTGTTCCCGGCGTTTTGATTTTTTTTAAAAAGCATGCATAACTTCTAATTCTTTAACAGCATACAACCACCTTTCTCCATCGTTCCTGTTAGCAGGACATAGACTGGATTAAAGCATGCTCAATTCACGATTGCTTTGGTGCACGCCGATTGGCTAATTCCTATCCAATCAGCACTAGCCGATAGTTGGAGAATACTCTAGAATCTTCTCATGTAAAAACTAAAAATATACTGACGTTTTCCCTATTGTGCTTCTTACTTGCATCTTACTTCCATCTAACCTTGTTATTTGGAATATAATCTCTTTCCTGTTCAACCGTGTTCTGATTTGGGGACTTGTTGAGTGAATCGGTTTCCGAGAATACTAAGCAATAGGAATAGCTGGGTCATAACCGTAAGAAAGAGATTATAACAGTTCCATTCAAGTAGTGGGCTTAGACAGAGTTGCCCAATCTCACCATTTCTCTTCAACTTTGCCATCGATGACATTCTGGAAACAGCTCTGATGGATGTAAGTAATGGCAGTGTGGATCTGTTGCCTGGTGAAAGACTTCTCGACCTTGAGTATGCGGATGATATTGTCTTACTGTGTGATAATGCCCAAGCCATGCAATTCGCACTTAATCAGTTGGCAATCAGTGTCCGTATGTACGGTGTGTGCTTTGCACCTTCGAAGTGCAAAGTCATTCTACAAGACTGGCAGGATTCTAATCCTGCGCTCACCCTGGATGGTAAGCAGATAAAAGTAGTCGAGAAGTTCGTGTATCTAGGTAGCTGCATAAGTGCTGGTGGTGGCGTGAGTGATGAGATCAATTCACGTTTAGTGAAAGCCAGAGCGGCTTGTGCCAATCTGGGCCACCTTTGGCGCCTTCGTGATGTTAGTCTGGCTGTAAAAGGTCGGACCTACAACGCGTCGGTGAGAGCAGTTTTGCTCTATGCTTGTGAAACCTGGCCTCTCCGAGTTGATGACGTTAGACGACTCTCTGTGTTCGATCATCGCTGTCTCCGAAGGATTGCTGACATTCAGTGGCAACACCATGTTAGTAATGCAGAGGTTCGGCATCGTGTGCTCGGGGACAGAGACGATAATCCAATTGGTGTCAGCATCCTAAACATCGACTTCGGTGGCTTGGACATGTTCTACGAATGTCGTCCCAGAGAATTCCACGTCGTGCATTATTTGCCGACTCTGGGACTGGTTGGAAGAAGCGGAGAGGTGGTCAGTATATGACATGGTGTCGTGGGATGAAAGAAAGCTGCAAAGGACTGGCTTCTGTTGGTCCTTCACGACTCCCTGGTTGGGGTCTGAGAGATGGTGCTACACAGTGGCTAGAGACGTTATCAGATATGGCTCAGAATAAAAGCCAGTGGCGATCCTGCTGTAACTTCGTTTACTTTTTTCGTAGATAATAGACGTAACTTTTTATCTGTAAGAATTCTTTCTGGTTGTACCTTTCCGTTTCCCCCATTATTATTATTATTATTATTATTATTATTATTATTATTATTATTATTATTATTACACTACCACACACTAATCTGTGGTCGTTTTTGTTTTTTCCCTTATATTCGCCTTACCTTCTTTTTCTCTTTTATTCTCATTTTGTGTGGCGTATACATATTTGGTGCCCTCTTGTACCAATATTTATGTGTTCAAATAAATATAATAAACTCATTAACCACACTATGGTGAACAGATATACTGAGCTTTAAACTCCACTCGACCTTTTTGTAACTCTCTTAATAACATCCAGATTCTTCAATTTTCAACTGATTTATGCAAGTATTTACATATGTTGACGGATAAAATCAAGGATGTATTATCCTAAGGCTCTTCATTACTGCACAAACGTACCAACAGATGTATTTCAAAAATAGGAACGAATTTTTGTAATAATTCTAGTTAGCGAATATATTTTATAAACTAAACCACTTTAGATGCACAATTTGTGTACATTTTCATTACATTAAGTTCTTTGAAATTCCGTCCTATTGATTATGTGTTGTACAAAACTGAACGAAAGCAGATTTCATACACCTGTGATTTTATCGTAACTGGTTTGTCGTAGGACATCTTCAAACGTTGACCATTAATTGTGTTTCGAATGGTCGAACTCGACAAAAAGCCGTCACTTTCAGTATTCGTTTCTACACAAACCAGTTTTACTTTGACCAGGTGTTGATTTTCTTCACTTAGTGGATAGTACTTAAGTGCAGTATTTTATATTTATCTTAACGTCACTGATCTAAAGCGATATTAAAACAGCCACCAAGTAATTTTCAAATCAATTGGTTTAATCGCATGTCATGTTCGTTTGTGTAACGGAGTGGCATTTATAGATATCATATGACAGGTTTGTATGACAATAACGATCCATGTACTGAATTACCTATGTAATCGAGCGCAAGGATATTGAAAAAAATGATCATACCATGGTAAAGTACGAGTGTATAATTTAACTTTACCATTCCAACGTACACTGTGGATGCACGCTTTTTCATTACTATAGTCATTAGTAGATATTGTCTTAACTACTTAAAAATTCGATTTTCTTATATTTAGGTAATTGAATTGCACCTCCAATTTTTGATACGAAATAACAAAGCTGACCTTCGACTACTTGAACGCATACGTGATGAGGTACGACATTCGGTGACGCATAATGCTACAGTTATTGCAAATGGTATTATGCATTGTGGAACAACATCAGATCAGTTTTTAAGGGATCATTTAAATTGGTTAGGAAAAGCTGTAAATTGGGCTAAATTTACTGCTACTGCTACCCTTGGGGTTATACACAAAGGTAAATATTTTATTATTTTCCATTTATGGGAGTGTACCTACCGGGATAATAATAAACATTGATTTCAGTACTGATAAGGTTTACCGATATTTTGTCCGGGTTTTTACTGATAGTTATAAATTCCGATTGATGTCTTGCTGTCGTTTATCCTTTCAGGTCATGAAAAAGAGGCTTTACGTCTTATGTCTGCCTATTTGCCCAAAGATGCAAGCGGTTCATCCGGTTCTGTGTACACTGAAGGTGGTGGTTTGTTTGCTCTAGGTTTGATTCATGCTAATCATGGTGGAACGATGACAGGTAAGTTCTTGAAAGTAATCACAAATATTTAAAAGATATTTTAATTACTTTCTGTGTAAAATATTTTCATCCGTAAAATTTTACCATGTATCAAACTTATGTACCTTGTAAACATTTACTGGCTCATAAGATAAGCTAGTTGTATCTATGTAACTAGTTTTCTACTTTTTTATAAATGCTTTTTCATATGGCCTTGGTTGGGGTACTTGGATTATTGACTTATACATATTGGTGGGTATTTTTGCGAATAAATTATTCTGGTACTAATTAGTTTCAATCATTTTGCGCTGTATTGGATTGTCTCACATATTTTACTTGCATAATGCTTGTCATTTAATTTTTATTTAGCTTGTACTCCCGATCTGTTGATATAGCTCTTTCGCGGTATTTTATATCCATGATAATCTGCGATATTTAATGGTGGAGATACACATTATTTTGCATAAAGTTTTAAACACGAGATTATTTCATACTTCTGATTCATAGGTTCTACCAGGTTTTTTTATATCGACAGTTTTTACTTCTTAATTTTGGTTCTTCACTACCATTTTCGTCATTAATTTTGTTACCCTTGATGTTAATTTTTTCTCTCTATACTGTGAACCTTGTTCATTTTTGTACTGATGCGAACTCATCCTAAGTTTCACGACGTTGTTTATCTCTCTATCTTTTAATTATACTCTTCCATAACGACTGTTAAATATTATTTATTTCTTCAGAATATTTGCTCAATCAATGCAAGGAGGCTACTGCAGAACCTGTCAGGCATGGTGCATGTTTAGGCCTTGGTTTAGCTGCTATGGGGACCGGTAGAGAGGACGTGTATGATCAAATTAAACTTAATCTTTATCAAGATGATGCAATTACAGGTAGGCTTGTTTACAATATTTCCTTTGTTATTCTATCGATTCTATTGTATTCGACGTGAATTATCCATTATTCATAATTCTTAGCACCAAGTAACATTAATGCAGTTTGTTCTTGACAATGGTTTATCGTACATCCTGAGTTATATCATGATTATAGGAGTGCTAACCATAGAAGCCTATTTCTTAATTTCATTAACAAGTAAACTTACATCACAATTTTGTTTATTTTATTACATAAGACTGAACTATTTTATTTTCCTATATTTAAAAAAAAATTGAATGTATTTAATCTGTGGTTTTGCAAAAGGCTTCTACTCATAGCGTGATTCAGTTGATTAACCGACTTACTTAGTATTTTTATTTATTATTATTTTGATTTATCATACTGTGTTTGTCTCAAGGTGAAGCGGCGGGTATTGGTATTGGTTTAGTCATGTTAGGAACTGGGTCAACACGAGCTATTGAAGATCTACTTGGTTATGCTAAAGAAACAGCACATGAGAAGATTATACGTGGCGTTGCTTTAGGCATTGCACTTGTCATGTACGGTCGAGTTGAAGAAGCTGACGAACTTATTGACAATCTGATTATTGTAAGTTTTTTATTCACTGTGTTGTGTAAATGATAGTTTTGAATTTTTGCTGGGTAAATTTTAATTAAAATGGTAAATAAAACCGTTGGTCGATAGCTGTTGCACAGTGATACAATTCGGTCAACTTACAACTGCTCACAAGGTTAAGTTATTGACACGAGCTCCAGAATGAAATGGTATCAAAGGACAATACAACTGGGTAGCAGGATAATTTTTTGTTGCTTGTGACAGACATGGTTTGTTTACAAACTATTAAACACAAAAGTAGGGATGATTACATGTTGTTTTATATAAGGGATTGTAAGACAGATTTAGTAGGTCACATATACGCCAATGAAATTAAGCCTTGAGTATCAGACTTAATTTTCGAACATATTGTCGAGAGACTATGATGGTGATTTTAATTATTTCTACACTAATCCCTAACAAAATTTCCACAACAATCCTAGACAAACCAATGTTCATGGAAAATCTTAGAGCCTTCTATGGAAAATTTCCCTGTGTCCTATTCTAACCTCACTAATGTGTCACATACTGTGCAACTGGGTCTTAAGACCTAGTAGGATTATATATTCATATAAACCAGAGTTTTTATTCATTTCCTCAGCAGTTGTGAGATTTACATTTTAGCAGTAAAAAAAACATCGAGACATCGAACGAACTAAAAACATCTAGTTGACGTAAATATGTAATGCAGGCCGAGGACCGTTATTTTGACGAAGCGATCCACTAGTATGATGAGTAATTTCTTGTTTTCCTTTAGGATCTCAGTGTAGTCAACAGATCGTGGTTAAAAGAGCTTTACCATCATGTTACTAGGTTGCCATTTAATCCTCAATACTTAAATCTATTTATTTCACGATGAGACTACTATTCTTATATATGCTATATGTTCTTCCTATCGATGTTAACTGTCCTGAAAATCATAATCTATCGATAGAAGTCCTATATGTTTCATCTAACATCAACAGTTATTTAGCAAGCGGTTGGTTTTTGATACTTATCGTTTCAACGAGTGGACAGAGCCCCTAATGGTCTTTATCACTAAATGAAGAACTTTTTAATTTGGATAAGTATGTGTCAGAATTTTATTCCATATTTGTCAATTGTTTTCGTCATATAGACAGACTTGCAAAATGTCATTTATTCAATCAACCTCTATCATTGGTTATTCCTGTTTGTTTTTCTTCAAAATATAGGATAATGATCCCATTTTACGTTGGTCTGGTATGGCAACAATTGCAATGGCTTACTGTGGGACTGGTAATAATCAGGCAGTGAAACGTTTACTCCACGCTGCAGTCAGTGACACCAATGATGACGTTCGACGATGGGCTGTTACAGCTCTTGGTTTCGTTCTATTCAAGTATGTTGTGTATAAAGGTTTTCTCAGAATACTTATCGGTTATTTGTCATTAGTCTTCTTTCTAAGCAAGCCATTGTACTAAGCATTCCTACCTTAAAAATGAAGTTAATTTTACCGTAACCCTCATTTTTTGTTACCTTTTAGAAATCCTGAGCAGGTCCCATCACTGGTGTCCTTACTCGTTGAATCCTACCATCCTCATTTGCGCTATGGTGCTGCTATGGCTGTAGGAATAGCCTGCGCGGGAACAGCCCTTAAAGAAGCTGTTAGTTTATTAGAAACTTTACATGAAGGGACAGTGCCATTTGTTCGTCAAGGTGCCTTAATTGCTAATGCAATGGTATTAATTCAGCAGAATGCGGTTACCTCCCCAAAGGTATGAGTCATAAAGATGGTCATTTCATTGTGCTCTTATTTACAAACTAATATATTGTCAATTTTGTTACTTTTCATATTGCCTTATCATTCACGGATATTTGTTTGCAGCTGGTGTAATAAAACGTTATTCTTAGTGAAATTCCCATTTAGCTTCAAGATTAATGCGCTTTTTCAGAGCATATCCATGGAGGTCTATGAGCTTTTACACCTGCGACTAGAAAATTTCATACTTACATCCAAGATGCATTTGTCTGTTGAAGGATTGTTTTAGTGTAAGCTTTTGTTTGAAAATTTTATCAACTTACAGAACCACAATATAGACTAATGTCTCAATAGCGATTTATCAGATTTAAGATCACATTTAAATAATGTCTCTACTGATTTAGCATTGATTATGGCTTATATGACCACCATGATGTAATTAATGGAGTGTAGTGATGCATCTGTCGGCTGTCCTCTGTGCACGACTTTGCAGCGTAGTCCGTCACCCAGATCTTTTTTGGTATCTAGATGAGGTATCCTTCTTCCTAATCTGTCGGTACTTGTTCATCCCCCAAATCTTCCTTACTAGAGTGTGAAGCATGTTGCCGATTGCTTCTTTATCTGACTTCAGTAGTATATTGTCAGGTCCTGTTGTTTTCCCAATCTTAATTTGTTTGACGGCCATGGTGATTTCTTCGATCGTTAGTAGAGTGACATCTATAGGAAGGTCTGTGTGTGCCGCTTCGATGTCCGGTGGACTCAATGGAGCTTATCTATTCAAGAGTTCCCGAATTCTTCCACCCATCTGTTCCTCTGTTCCTGAATCTTAGTGACTGGCTTACCTTCTTTTTCCTTTACCGGTCTCTCTGGTTTACTATATTTCCCTGCTAGTTTCTTCGTTGTGTCATATGGCTGTTTCATATTTCCTTCTCTTGTAGCTTTCCTGCTGTCGCTGTTAGGTCTTCCACCTATTTCTGCTTGTCATCTCTAATGATCCTCTTCACTTGCTTGTTTGCTTCTTCGCTGGATTTTAAAGTCCAGAATGCTAACCGCTACACTACGAGGCCACGGTTTCTTAATTATTCAACAGTTAATACGTTTCTTTTGTGATTCCGACCATTTTAATTATGTGTTGTATCATCGAGTGGCGTTAACTTAAATAAATAACCTTTCGAAGTTCTTTTAACTATTCGAAATGCGTAACAGATCATTTCAGACTCTGACACTTTAAATAGTGAAGAAGTGGGTAAACAGTTAGCTCAACGCATGAGTAATAAATAAGGTTTGATATTGAAATTAAATATTCTTTTCTTTTAGTCTGTAGATTTCCGTCAGAAATTGTTGAAAATTATTGGGGATCGTCATGAAGATTTATTGGCTAAATTCGGTGCTATCATAGCATGTGGCATTTTAGATGCTGGTGGATGTAATATGACTATTTCATTGCAAACACGTACGGGTACGTCCAATTTATTTCAAATCATTATATTTGATGACCTCCATTTGGTACTACAATTATTATTTTAGGTTCTTTTCGGTTAATTGTAGTTGATAAAAGACTTCTACCTCTTTATCACAAGTCTATAACCATCGGGTGGATTGACTAATTAACTGATAGTCATCATAAATCCTGATTTAGCAGATATCACATTCTAGGACTCTAAATCAGTGATAGCACTTCTTGCTAATCGACTGTTTTGTAGTAAATGTTGTCATAGTAAAATGTATTGTCTTTTATCACACTCTGAATTAGAAAAACTGTTATGTGCCGGTATCAAGCAAACCAGTTCTCAAAAATACATACCTGGTTTAAAGTATGAGATCACCGGTGTAATACCAAGATTAATCGCGATTGAATACTTTAATTGAAGTAGAATAAAAAAACTTCAGGGCTATTCGATTTCTTATGACTCTTCAGCTGATATGGATATGGAAGTAAATTGATAACTGAAATATCCAGTTAGCTAGCAACAATATAGGATCTAACATAAAGTGCATCGTCCCAGCCTGCCAAACTTCATATTCATACAATGAAGGGAAATTAACAATGTAAAAAGATGCAAAGTTAAAATCTATGGTGGTTAAAACTGTAGAAATAAAATGAGATAAGTTAAATTGGTGGAAAGAGTATCATACGCTATTTTAACTCAGGAAATAGTGGAAGATATAGCGTAACTCCTTCCTCAGTGTAGTCATTGAAAGTTCCCTGAAAACTTTAATGAAACAATACCACTTATTTCAACAGGGATTATCGAATTGACAAAAATACTGCATATTGTAATTTAGTGTTGTATAATAGGTTTGATTGTGTTGTGTAGTAGTTTTTTGTCACAACATTTATTTTTATTGATAATAATATATTCGTAATATCCCAATAAGCGGAAAAATTAAATTTTCTGACGTTTCGCGACTCTGTGTAAGCCACTTCTTCAGAAAACAAATAAACTGATTAAATTAGTCCAAGTTAAAATAGTACAGAGGAACAAAGCAAAAATATTTCGTACAATCAATCAATAAACAGATCTGACCAAGTCAATGTCATGTCATTACGGTAATTTATGTGAGACATGTTTGTTTATTAGTGTGTGGGTGAAAAATGTAACATTTGTAATGCGAGTTGAATTTCTATGTAAGATAATAGTGTGAGATGTGACTAGAATCAGATGTAGTAACTCGGGTAGATAGTCAAAGTTGGATGAATAATAAAGCCTTTTCTATTGAGGGTAGTAGGATTTAGCAATATATAGAAAGCTTCAGCTACTCACCTTTCTTTGTAGTTGGAAAAACCTTTTTGTATTATTTTGATAATTTTAATATTGACTTGATGGTTGTTGAGAATGTGATGCACTGTTATTGCCAATCTAATTTAGAGTTTTTCAAGTTCTACAGGATTATTAAGTAGTCTGTTTTATATACACCTATGATGTTCTGTGCTTCATATCAAGATTTCACGAGATGACTCTCCAATATAAGAGGCATTGCAATTGATACATACTAGTTTGTTTATTTATTCTCTGAAGAAGTGGCTTACACTGAGCTGCTAAATGTCAAAAAATTTGATTTTTCTACTTATTGAGATATTAAAAATCTATCATTTTTATTAATAAAAATCTATCCAATGCTCAATTTATTTGAAATTATCAAGTCAAATCTACAACATTGATTTTGTTATTAACTCACATTTTTTCTCTCTGTTCATTTGCTATATTGTATCACGTAGGCAATGCAAATATGGCAGCGGCTGTCGGTCTTTTAATCTTTCAGAATTTCTGGTTTTGGCATCCATTAACCAATTTTATCAGCTTAGCATTTACACCAACTGCATTAATAGCATTGAATAAAGATTTGAATATGCCAAAGATACAGTTTCGTTCAAATGCTAAACCGTCGACCTTTGCTTATCCTCAACCATTGCGTTAGTTAAATTCTGATTATTTATTTATTTCCTGTGTTATATTTACTATTATCTGTTATTACAGAAAAATGACAATTCAACGAAGAAAACTTTTTCTTTTCGGCAATTTCATTTAATTAGACTATATATAGTTATATCCCGATGAGAATAATAAATGGTAACTTTCGGGATATACAATAATCCAATGGCTAATGAAAAATATCAGTGTGAAGATAATTGTGCAGTTAAATAAAATAATTGAAAGTTATAATAACGGCTAATGAGTAGTTGTGAAAAATATTTAAAAATGAGTAAAGAAGACGATAAGTTATGGAAGGGAGAAAGAAAGGTTAAGACCATGGTAGAAAAAGGTATTGAACACGTTGTTTTTGTACATAAAAAGTTAGGGTTGGATTTGTGGATAACTATAACCTCTGCTGTACATACCTCTTTCATTTTTATTCCTGTCGGACCGATTTTTCTGACTTTATGAATAATTTTGAAGGAGAATTCTGTTTAAGTAGACTAACTAGAATTAATTAGTTGTTCTAGAATTGAGCGTATGACTGACTTTTGTAATCCTTTATATAGCCAGTCAGAGTAATTCTAGTTGATATTTATAAGTTGTGATATTCTACTAGGTACAAAGTAATCGTTCTAAACACATACATTTCTAGTATGTTGGTTTTGTAAAGTTAAACATATACACCATTGGATTTCGACTCGGTGGTTTGAGAGCTAAGCGTTCACATGCGAGACTGAAGGTCCTGCGCTTAATCCACGATGTGGTCGTGGGTGCACTTTCCTAAAGAGTCCCATGCTAGGACGAAACGGCTGTTTAGTGCTTTTCAGTTTTAAGTGGTGATCTAACGTATATTTCTGTCAATAATGGAACAACAAAAGACGTGTGAAAATCATATTTAAATTATCTCAGCAAATGTTCATATACGTTATGGAACTATAAAATTCTGTATCCAACTAATGTCCCTTAGTTAATCCATCCACTTTTCAATCACTGTGTTCGAAATCCTCCTGGACTTGTATTTATAAACTTCATATAACAGACATACATAGCTCAGATCCTAATATATAAATATACATCTGAGTACTAGGTTATAATGCAGATAATCAGTAGTAGAGTCATATACTTGTTAATGCACATCTATGCATATAATCATATTGCCTTTTTAAAAAGAAAATAAACAAACAGTGTTACGGACCGATTGGAACTTGGATTATTCTTATTAACATTTGGTTTATCTGGAAATTTCGATGTTAAGCATAATTCAGGTTAACTTAAGCCTAATTCATTTTATACAATTATCGAATAAAATTGTTACTTGGTATAGAATAGATGGGATGTGGCTAGCATTGGAATCCAAGACGCGGAGACTGACAAGTGGTTATAGATGCCTGGAAGCTGAAATTCAAATTTATTTATAGTATGAATTCAATCATTCAATGGTGACGAATATGTAAAGGCCCATAGCCAATTCAATTTTTTCAACATATGGTTTTCACTTCCGGATCCCCAAAACTATGTCATCAAAATCAGAAAATGATCCAAGTTTGACAACCATTAAAAACCTGGAACCTCTTTATAACAGTGTAGTTCTAGCATGGGACTCATCAGTAGTGCACACCGCTACTCTGAAACCGGAAGTCGAACCTACGGTCTTACGCACGAACGCCTAACCTGTAGACCAATGAACTGGAATATAATAATGTACAAGTCTAAGTTCGATCAATCGGTTCGTGTTCTCATTGAAATTCAATACTCTCCATAATTCTTTACTGAAAGTGACACATTATTGTAGACTTTCTATAAAACGATGATAAATCATGTCATATTGATTTGTTAACGTTTTTCGCAATTATTCTACTCTTCGAATTTTCAGAACAGGAAAAAGAAAAGAAACGTGAAAAAGTAGAGACAGCTATTTTAAGTATCACAGCTAAACAACGTAAAAAGGAGGCCGATAGAAAACAACACAAAGAACAACAACAGTCGACAACCACCGGTGGAGCACAAACTCGCAAAGATTCTCAAACTAAAGAAGTTAAGATGGATATGTAAGATTTTATTGCATTAATGATTTTGACAATATTCTCAGTTCATTATCATAGATAAATCAATCCTAGAAAAGTCTTTTCTTCTAACTGATAAAATTTGAATGGCTTTAATGGTGATATGTGGTAGTAGTATTCTTTCTGCACAAACTTAATTACTTATTGTTTACCCAATAATTTTTAGCGACAAATTACCACAACCAAAAACAAACCACATTCGTAGATATTTCAACGATTAAAATTAAGTAGTTCTGTCGTTTCATAGGGCAATTAAATTCTAATTTATTAGATAGAAGTAATCAAAGTTTATTATTTGAATATAGGTTTCGTTACGAACTGACATCAGATGAAAAACCAACTTTCATAATACAATTTATTGTATTCAACCTCATTGTAAATATATTTCCTTTTGCTTTGTGGGAGTACATTTAATTAAGGAATGATACATTTCAGGCAACGGGCTACTTATCATTATTATTGAACTCAAAATCAATTGTTTACACAAATACTTATGTTGATGTTTCTAAAGTTTTAATCTATTAGTCGTCGGTTGATCAGTAATTTAAATATTCAAGTTAATTTAACTGTTCTGTTTTAAAACAGAGATACTCCACTAGAAACTGTCAAAGAAGAAAAACCTTCAGCATCATCAACTGAAACAAAAGAAGAGAAAGTGAGTGAAGTCTTATTATTTATTAGTATCGGATTTTGAGCAAAGGGTTTGCTTAGAGAAATGGATTGTTATTAATATACTGTGTGGAACTTAGCATATATATATATATATATATATATATATATATATATATATATATATATCAGTTCAAGTTGCCATACCATATAGACACACCTATATGGAACTATTAAAATGAATGCAGTAGTAATAGAAGTGGTCACAGTGTAATTAGTTTTATCAAAGATTAGGCATAGATAATAGGATTCAAGAAGAAAGAATGAATTAACGGAATAAAAAGTATAAGTATTTCAAGACAGCATGAATGATTATGCACCTTTATGATCAACTCTGAGCTATGCCATGCGACATTTCCAACTATTAGTTACGATAATTGTGCAAATCCTAACAACCTAGTTGCCACGTTTGGAGAGATTACGATTTACCTAAATCAGCAAACAAAACAAAAGTCAGCAACACGACAACAAGACGAGCTAAACTATTAACTGCTCTCCGGCCCTGCTAAGACCAGATTCATCCGAGGGAAGGGTATGTTTCACAAACAGTCGGGAGCACGAACGAACAGACATACGACTCGATCGTATATATACAGTATAAAAATGTTCTTGGGAAACGTCACAAAATAGTCTATTAAAATAGGAAACAAACCAATGACACTTAAGGTCCTTCTAAGTGTAAAATACAACCTAAAGGTAAAAATGGATGCTCTTGGCGCGGAAATGTGAAATTCAAATTTTCAAAATAAAATTTCAAAAATAAAAGGTTTGTAAAGTGATTTCTTGGGGTCTAGAATCCCTAACATTAATATTTACCTACCTCTACGAGTTCAACAGCCAATAACTTTCTGAACTGATTCCAAGTTCTGATTTTTCTTTCCCTAGCTTTCTTCCAACGTGCTCCTTACATAAGCAAATATCACGCATCCTGGTAGACGTTGGTCAAGGATGCGTAATACATCTTGCTCATTCGATGAAGATTCACTAAATCATCAACCGATCTGCCATATTTGTCTAGTACTCTGTTTTTCATATCAACATAGCTCTCTCGGTGTTCCCACCAGTACAATACAAATGCTTAGTAGATACTTATGTTTAAGTACTAGTAACTTACGAATACCCTCTGCTTATAATGTCATGTTGTACAGAGGGGACTGTTGAGCAGTATACTCGCTTCTTCGTTATCAGATGAACAAATAACACTGAAGGTGACTGAAATTGACAACAATCCAACAAACTTCCTGAATACGTTTAATTTATATGTTCATATTTCCAACTCTAATCAACTTATGAGCAATGGAGGCTTTGGAACAGATCCTTCTCCACCATACGTGCAATAGTTTATTTGTTCGTACGATAACTACCTACCATTAATTAGTCCTAAAGGTGTTAGTTATTTAAAGGATGTATTTGGTCATATGGAATTGTAGATTGAACCCTTTATGTTTAATTATCCTGGTCTTCATAATTTCGTATATAATCGTTTAGATTTACACTTATTCATTTGTTTATTAATATTACCATTTAGGAACCGAATTTCAGTCTACTAAATAACCCAGCTAGAGTAATGCGTTCACAACAAAGATACGTGACCCTTCCTGAATCATCTCGTTATGTAACTTTAAAACCAATCAGTCAGGTATGTATCCACTATCTGTAACAAATAATTTAATTTGAAATATCTTTGTTTTGCAATAACAGATTTTAAAGTGTTGCGTAACCCACAGATATTTTGTAATTAAATGTAATTTTTCTATAGCTAATTTTAAATTAGAACTTGTTTTTTCTTCAATAAACAAAGCATTAGTTATTAGTACTGTATTTTACAATTCCATCTTTCAAGGTTTAATTTATCAGGTAGCTCGTCAAGAAATGCCTTTCATTGGAAGTATGTAAAATCGTTTGTTGCAAATTTGTCAAATAAATCTAACTACTAATCCTCAGGTTATGTAGAAGAAACTACTTTTGAGAAATTCATTTATAAATCGATTTTATAAGAATAAAGTCATAGCAAATACGTGATACCTCTTCTACGTTATAATTGTATTTTCAAATTTGTTCTTAGTCGTCTGTATCGTGTGCACATCCTTCTGCTGATGATTGTGTAACTGTTTTGGTATGTTAAGAATATAATCTACCTCTTTGTATTACTATATTATTTAGGGAAAAATAATTAAAGAAGAGAAGTATTTCTTTTCAGTTTGATTCTCATCCCTGCTTTAGACTAATGTATGGTTTAACAATAAAAAACCTCATTAATTTAATCATCATAAAAGTTTGAAATGTCTTATTACACAATCTCTCATTTGCCGATGCCTTTTTTCTCCAGATTTTTACTCTATTTTCGTTGATTAGCTGTAACCTTCTCCTTACGAATATGTGATATCACCGCTTGATTGATATTGATCTTATTATTATTATTAGTATAAAGCCGTGATGATAAACAAATTGCAAAAGCGTATTTCTTCCCTCTATTCATCTTTTTATTGTTAAATATCACAATAAAAATAATTGTTGTTCATTTTATTCTTTCTAACTTTTTTTCTCTACTAAATATCAAGGTTAATTGTTAGTTTAAGTGGTGTGTGGAGATCGTTGAATGTTTTTGTAATCATAAATCGAACTAGACTAAAAAAAAACCCCATTGAAATCTAGTAATCATTAGACAACTGTTTCGTCATAGTGTGATATTTCTCATCATTGTTATTGGTTAGAGTGAAACAGTAAATAGAAAAGCTTATTTAAATTCCAGTGGTTTATTCAAAAACTTGTTGATTTGAATGTTATTATTTAACCGAGAATACTATCCATATCATTTTTGTTAGTTTTTCCAAAAAAATATTTTGTCATATATTTTCCACATTAAACAATTTTCATGGATTGACAAACTTTTTAGTGACTGAATTATTGATCCATCCTTTTTCATCAAATGATTCGTATATTTTCAGTTCATAGTGCATAATATTTATGTTAGATTGGTTTATTTATTGTCGTGTGAGCTCGTGATTTAATTATCACTCACAGTAGAGCGGAAAGCTATCTTTTTGGTTTAAACACTCAACTATCAGCTACTAGATAACAGTCATGAACATCACTGTATATGATTTGGCTTCAACACCCAGGTAGTATCAGTAGTCCCCAGATCGAGATTTGTGTAGCCCAAAACCATGTACACAAACATGTACTTGTAGCAGTTCATAGAAAATGAGCCGACTATTTTGTGAATTTAGATTATACTGTTATGGATAATGTCCTCAATATCTGACTCCAAATAATAATATCCCGTAACTGAGTATTTTAGCTAGGCTTAATCTCCTAGTAGAATTGCGAATTTACTCGAGATTATTAAAAAGCCTGAACACCAGTTATAGAGATAGTTTATTGTTAATGAATAATAATAATCCACAAGCGCACGATGAGCAAGCACACGATGAAACAGAGAGAGTGTGTGAGTGAGTTAAAAATCCATATATATTTGAGAGTTAATCGGGTGTGGATAAATTATCGATTATCTGCACATTGCAACCAATAGGAGAATAGCTTAAGAGTTAATGTACAGACATGCATTCGATCATACACACCGAAATTAACATAGTGAATTGAGTCTGAGTTACAATGACTAGACAAATGATACAGTAGCCAAAAGGGCTTGCTACATAAGCTCCCATCCAGAACATTGATGTTTTTATGTACCAAAAAAAAAAAAATTCGATTAACATCTATGTTCGACAAAGAGATAAAGAACGGAACTGTTTTTAAAATAAAAGTACAACTCAATATGATGAGTAAGCGTAAAATTGTAATAACAGCTTGTGTGTTGAAACGTTTCATATCATGTATATACAAGTGTAAATTTAACATTAATGAATTGTATAAAGTTAAAATGTAAGCATAATGGTGATCCGTGGGGCCAATAAAAAAAATAGTAATCAATATAAAGTAGGATTTTTATGTGTTATAAGAGTAGTCTCAGGATTTGGTCTAGATAAATATAGTGGTTGCTACATACCTATCTGGCCAATGTACTCTTCTTCCTGATCTTGTTGTAGTTTGTGCTGCTGCTGAATTTTGATTTGAAATGTTGCTTGTTGCAGGTAGTTTGAATGGTGCTTGCTCTGCTGCGGGTTTAGACGGTTTTACAGTTGCC